TTTTGAAGCCCACCCCTGCCGACACCTACAAGTTCACCAACTCATTGCCCAGGGGGCAAGGGGTCTATGACTTGGGTGAGTGGACAGCCAACCATGGATCCCATCACCATTTTAAGGGAAATAACTTGAGATAAAAGCCTTTGATGACCATCTCAGACTTTCTTCAGTCTGATGCCTCTCATTCAGTGAGATTTCAGTGCTGACCCTGCTACCTTGATGGCATGCAACTGAACAGCTGGAGTCCAACACAACTGAAGGACACCAGGAAAGTAAAACTGCACAGTTCAGTCAATGACCAGGTGATTCACTTTACAACCAGAATAACAGAGTTGGAAGGGACCGTGGAGATCTTCTAGTCCAGGGGTATCAAACTTGCGTCGTCACAGCAGCATTACGTGACGTATCACGACTTTTCTCCCCTTTGCTAAATGGGCATGGGCATGGCCTGCATATGTGACGCATCCGGCCTGTGGGCTGCCAGTTTGACACCCTTGTTCTAGTCCAACCCCTTGCTCTGGCAGGAAACCCTGCATCATTTCAGACAAATGGTTGTCCAAGCTCTAAAAACTTCTAGTATCTGAGCACCCACCATTTCTGGAGGCATGTCCTTCCTCAATTAATTGTTCTAAATATCAGGAAATTTCTCTTTACTTCTAGGTTGCTTGTCTCCTTGATTAGTTTTCATCCATCCATCTGAAGGCTTCTTGTCCTGCCTTCAGGTCAGATGTGGTACTCAGCAGACTCTGACTAGTTCTGGAGAACCGTAGTGGAAATTTTGAGTAGTTCAGAGAACCGGGAAATATCACCTCTGACTGTCCCCACCCCCATCTATTCTCTGCCTCCCAAGTCCCAGCTGATTGGCTGGGTCTCCTTTTGTTGCCCTGCATAGGAGAATGGAGCTGGAAAGCAGGTTAGTGGGGTGGAGAGGGAATGGGGATTTTGCAGTATCCTTCCCCTGCCATGCCCACCAAGCCGTGCCAAGGCCACCAAGCCATGCCCACAGAACCAGAACTAAAAAAATTTGAATCCCACCACTGCTTCAGGTGCTTTGAAGAATAGGTTGACTCCCTCTTCTTTGTGGCAACCTGTGAGATACTAGAACACTGCTATCATGCCTCCCCTAGACCTTCTTTTCATTAAACTAGACATACCCAGTTCCTGCAACCGTTCTTGGTATGTTTTAGCCTCCAGACCCCTAATTGTTTTTGCTCCTCTTCTCGGCACTCTTTCTAGAGTCTCCACATCTTTTTTACATTTTGCAGTATTCCAAGTGTGGCCTTACCAAGGCATTATAAAGTGGTATCAACACTTCACGTGATCTTGATTCTATCCCTCTGTTTATGCGGCCTAGAACTGCGTTGGTTTGTTTGGCTGCTCTTGCACACAGCTGGATCATATTTAAGTTAATGTCCACTAGGGACTCCAAGATCCTTCTGGCAGTTACTACTATTCAGCCAGGTACCACCTATTCTATGGTATAGTATTTAACCATGGTAAAAATGGTCATAAAATTGGGTCCACACATGTGATGATTGACTTAAACAACGATGGCTTAGCGACTGAAATTCTGGTACAAATTGTGTTTGTAAGTCGAGGACTACCCAAAATACAGTTTCGGTGGCGTTACTCTCCTCGCTATTCTTCACTGAGCATTTTCACAGCATTCGTCTCTTTCTCGCCCTTTGAGAATGAGTTAATTTTAACCATGATTAAGTAGCCATTCGGGACACAATGTTCAAGAGTGTTGGGTGAAAGCGCAATTTGTTACACTATTTTAAATACAGCTGTCATGATTTCGCTCACTGCTAGATCAGCAAGGCAGATGTCTCCTGCTCAGCACAAGCATTAAAAAGCCAGCGTTAAATGCATTTCTAAGGGCAACTGAGCCATAAAAGGGGCAGACCAAACAATAAAAAGCCATTTTGAACATGAAATTTTACGGAACTATTCTGAGTAGTTTCACGTGCAAAATGGGACGCTGCCCAAAACATTGTGCTTGAAAAGGTTTTAAATGTTTTGCACATGCTGACGACCTAACGGCATCTTTTCCTACCAATTAATGTATCTATCGATTTTACTTTTTTGCAACCAGTCCTGAGATTCTGCCGAGTTGAGAAGAATATACACAGCTTCCTGATTTTAGCTGATCCTCAGAAAAGAAGGCTGATTTTGGATTTAGACAGAGATTTCTAAACTTGGCAACTTTAAGACTTGTGGACTTCAACTCCCAGAATTCTCCAGCCAGCATATCTGGGAGTTGAAATCCATAAGTCTTAAAGTTGCCAAGTTTGGGGACTCCTGGATTAAGACATACAGATTTCATCTCCTTCCTGAAATGGAAACTACCAGTAGATGTTTTCGGTATGCATACAGCAAGCAAATGAAAGCCATTTGGAAGACATTTGGCACAATCTACAAAACATACATCTATCCTATTTGTAGGAGAATATCCTGAGATGCTTAACTAAAGATTTTCTTTTTGATAAACTCTCCAAAACAAAAGCCATCTTCCTTTAAATTATGATGAATTAATTAAATTAAAAAGCTGGGATCCCTTTTCCCAGGTGTCCTTACTCTCTAAAAAATACTCTATTTTTGCTGCCTTCTTCCCGCGGTACTTTACAATTCCTTCTGGTGATGTTTTGGAACTTATGTTAGTTGCAAAGTTGTTTTCCTTTATGTTACTCCTTCTTCTATCACAACATTTTAATCTAGAAGTGTTGATTTTGTGTCAAATACATAT